CGTCAGAGAGTTCCCAAAGGCTCTCAAGGGAGCTTAAGAGGGTGCGAAGGAGCTGAGCCCAACAGTTGTGCTCTGCAGATACCCAGCTGGAATAGACCCCTGGCACAGGAAACTGAAGAATATGTGAACACAGCCAGGCTGATACCAGCAGAGGAACTTTTCCAAAAGTTTTAGTACTTAAGTTATATTAAATGTCAATGATTTTTAATTTTATAAATTCTGACCATTGTCAATAAATTTTATTAAAATGTTTATAGTAATATCAATTAAATACTGACAGACTGTCATTTTGCTACAGTATTTCATTCACTAATATGGATTTTAACTATCGCCCCTCTGAAATCCTTGTCATTGTGTTTTCTGCCCATTGAACACCCCTTTCCTTGTATCATACCCCTAGGTTCATCAGAGTTAGCAAATTAAAATACAAAATGCCCAGCTAAATTTGAATTTCAGATAAACAACAAGTTATTTTAGTACAAGTATGTCCTATGCAAAAATATTTATTGCTTATGAGAAGTTCAGATTTAACTGGGTGTTCTGAACATTATCTGGCAACCTCACCTACCCACAGTTTTGACTACTAATCTTGACTGTGACCTTCACATAGTAAACCATGACCACCAAAGTGGACTTTCTCTCTCAAACACAATTGGTCTATTTCTTTGAGACCCCCTCACCTCCTATTCATCCAGGTCATGGATGTCTATGTTCTAAGGTATGACAGCCCATAAACTTTTGATAGTTTTAATACTTAAACTGAACACAGTCCTATACTGGAGATATGACCCTGAGCCAAAGAGAATAAGACTAGCACTTCCTTCATTGCAGACTCACTTCTGTTAACAGGGTCAAAGGAGGCATCAGCCTATTGGGCAGCCTTTATCACACTGGTAACTAATACTGATCTTCACCTAAATAGTTTTGTCTTTTTCCTATGTTCAACTGAATGATATTTTACTCCTTGTTTTCTTTTCAAACTTCATTTTATCTTGAAAGATCACCGAAACAAGTTTTCCTTGTCCGTTTCATTTCTGGGCTCCTCTGAGAGCAAGTTGAGTAGCCTTATCCCCTTCTTTATTCCTAATCAGGCTTGTTTGAGATTGTGTCATCAGGATTTCATGTTATCTCTGAATATTTTTTTTCTCTAAAAAATCAAACAAATCTAATTCTATAAAGTATATGTCAACCTATATCCATGCATTAGATACTTTACATATATTTCATCTTTTAATTCTCACATAACCATTAGAGGCAAGTTCTGTTACTTCCAGTTTGCCGATGAGGCAACAGAGATACAACAGAACCAAGAGACTTGTCCAGGTCAAGACTTGCAGTGAAGGCAGAATTGCCAGAAATGGAAGAGGCAAGGACAGACATATGCCAAGCAGAGATGGTTGATGCGTAACATCCTAGCCTGGGAAACTGCAGTGAAGGCATAGTCTTTGCAGAGAAGGGACAGCCTCAGGGCACCCCACGGGTCCACAAATACAGGGTAGGATTTTTATCTCACAGCAGCAGCTATCAAGCTGCTCACTGGAGCTCATCCTCAGACAGACTTTGAGCAGGTCTTGGCATTTGGAGATAAAATAAGAGTTTATAGAATCCAAGCACAGATGAGACTAGCCTGGACTGTGGTTGCCAAATATCTGGAATTTCTAAAAATTAAAATAGTTTTTATAGAACAGTAAGTAAAACGCATTTTAAAAGAAAATATAAATTTCATGAGATATCTGGATAAATTGAATTGCTTTCTTTTATATATTGCCTCAAATTGTGGAATTGCAGCACTGGAAAAAGATCTTAGAAATCACCTCATTCTTCACTTAATAGGACATAGAAGTCCAGAGTGGTCACATGACTCATCTAAAAAAATCACATTTGTAGTGTTGCAGAGTCTAGAGCCTACATTCTCCAGTCCAGTCTCTTATAATTGAGTATATTGATACCATTATTAGTATAATTGATTTTAACTCCAAGTATGTAACTAATATTTAATTCATATTTATTCTATTGACAGAGGTAGAGTATCTCTATCATCTATCTATCTATCTGATATTTATGATCATCACCCTTCCATCTATTAAACAACTTGCCTTCTTATGGCTACTTGTTAGATCCATCTGAGAGGCTTGCTCTTTGCAAATAAGCAACATGCCATCCAGTGGTAGGTAGCCTGAATTGCAGTCAGAAGTCCCACAGAGAGCCTAACAGCTAAACCCACCATCCAGGCACTAATACGAATGTCTCAGATACAGAGGATGTCGCTCTCATTCTATACAAAAATTGTTTTCTTATTTTATTTTTATTTTTTATTTTTAACTTTTATTTTTAATTATACATTTTAAATATTATTTTTCTAAACCGGAGAGTAAGCACTGGGTCCTATAAGCCAGTAAGAATTTTCAAAGAGCTGAGAAGGCATCCAAATATATCACACTGTCCCAGAGCAACACTCTACCTGTATAAAAATGTTTCAGAACAGACTGACATTCCCTAAGATGCTGTCCTGAACGTTTCCTAAGAACCTGTCAGAGTTTCCAAAATTTGGCAGCTTAATAAATTAAGTTACTAATTTTCTCCCAGCAAATATAAATACAGTGACTTCGGATTATTCAAGGGGCTAGTTTATTCCAGGGGCTAAACTTAACATTTGCTTTATTTGAAGTTAGCATAGCAACCATGGCTTTCTCTGTTTACTATTTTTCCCTGTATCTTTTACAATCGCTTTACTTTCAGCCTTTCTGTGTTTTCATGCTTAGATATTCTCATGAGGCAAAGCTAGATTAAACAAATCCAATCTGAATAATAAAAATTAATATTTTATCAATCTAGTTACATTTTTGATATTATGATGTATTTGGACTTATTTCCATCACCTTATTTTGTTTAGTATTTTATATACTTTTGTTGCTTAATTTTTCTGCTCAAGTTTTCTAATTTTCTTCTTATTCCTCTACTAGTTTAGAAATGTGTTCTATTTTCATTTTTATAGCAGTTGTCCTTTTATTTTTAACATTTTTCCTTGACAGAACAAAGTTTAGCAATGCATACTATCATAAGTAATATTAAATAATAACCTCTCAAAAAGATTAGAAAATTAATTTCTAACACATCCCTCCCTTCTTTTATATTAGTTGTCTAATATTTTCAATGCTACTTGTTTTTAAAATCTTAAAAATAAGGTCAAAATTTTTAGTTAAAACTTACTTAGTTTTATCAAAATATTTAAAATTACTTTGGGAGAATTGCTTCTTGCATCCTAGTCTTTTCCTTTAGCATTTTTTTTGTACTGAAATGCATCATTTAATATTTCTTTCAGCAAGGTCCAAAGATTAAAAAAGCTCTCAGACTTTGCCTGAATAAATGCTTTTATTTTACCTCTCTCTTAACCAGTCATTCAGCTGGGTATAAAAGCCAATTTGTTCACTGATTTCTTCTGAGCCTTGAAAAGTATCTTTCCATTACCTCGTATAGCTCTTGACGCCAATAAACAGTCTGTTCTCATTCTAATTACCTTTCTTTATTAGATGGTCGGTCTTTTCTTCTAAAACCTTTGAATATTTTCTTTTTATCTTTTACGTTCTGCAGTTTCACCCCAACAGACTAGTTGTGGATTTAATTTTATTTTCTTGCTCTAAGTTTGTGTGACACTCAATCTGAAAAATCTCTTGTCTTCTTTCAATTTTGACAAACGTTCAGGCAATATTGCTTTGAATATTGACTCACTTCTCGTCCCTATCTCTCCTTATAGACCACCTTTCAGACAGATGAGGCTTTCTCACTTTACTTTCTGCATCTCTCAGTATTCATTGTGATGAGTAATTTCATGTGTCAGCTTAGCTGTGCTAAGGTACCCAGTTGTTTTGTCAAACACCAGTTTAAATGTTGCTGTAATGTAGTTTTTAGTGTGATAACATTTAAATTAGTAAACTTTCAGTAGAGCAAATCACCCTTCCTAACGTGTATGGACCTCATTCAATCAGCTGAGGGACTCTAAACAAAACTGAGATCATTTGAGGAGAAAGGGATTCTGCCTTCAGACTGCCTTCTCACTTAAGACTGCAATTCAATTCTTCCCTAAGTCTGCCAGGCTGCCAGCCTACCCTGCGTATTTGAGATTCACTAGTGCCCACGATTGCTGCCTTTTATAATCTAATAAATGATTTCTTCAGCTCCAGATTCCTGTTTACTAACAGCATTTGAGCAGCTCCTAATCTGTTTAATCTTCCATTATTATTTTATTTCTTTAAAGAATTAAAAAATTTTATTTGATCCTTTTTTTTTTTTTGGCCAAATTTTCCTGCCTATGGCCATAGTATCCTATTATATTACATTATGGTTTCCATTTCTGTTTTGATATTTTAAAATTATTTAAAAATACTTATTTTACAACATTTAAGGTTGTTTATCATATCCAGATTTGGGGGAGCTAACTTTCTTGTGTGCTGCCCCTACTAACTTCATCATGGTGGGGAAGACTTGGGATTCTTAAGTTGTAAAAATATCTGTGCAAAGGTTGCTTCTCCTGAAGTCTTAAGAATTTCCATGGTTTTCAGATAAATGTCTTACCCTTGAGCCGTCTTTGACCACTGACTCCCTGCACTCCCCTCACCCCATATATAAATCAACTTCCTTTATCACAGGATTTCATAGAGTACCTTTTATTTGATGTCATTTACCTGAGTTTGTAATTATATTTTTGTTAGTATGATTATTTGACAACAATCTGTCACTCCTTTACCCTCAATAGACTCTTAGCTCCATGAGAACAGGAAATACATATGTTGCAGTTCACTGTTATCCCTAACACTTGGCACAGTGTCAGACACATAGTAGTTACCAATTAAATTTAATATCTGTTTGTTGAATAAATGAATGACTAGATACATTCTTTTATCCTGCTTAGCATGAGAAATTTCCTCCTGGATGTATTTCATACAGATACTGAATGGATCAGATTTATTGAAATTTTTTTTTGTTTTCTCCTACAGTTGCTATTGTTGGTGCTGCTATGGCTAAAACATTCAAGTACCTGAAACATCCAGATACAGATGTAATGCTAATTACAGAGTTTCATCGGAGTTTTTGAAGTTTTGAATTTGAAGTCATGTAAAAACACCAAAAGTTGCCTTTTATAAGTCCACAAAGCATTTGAATATCTTTAATAGAAGAATGGTAAACTCTCCTCCACCTGAAGAAATGTTTGATCAGAGTGAATACCATGAGATGGTTGCAAAGAATGAGATCCCTAATTAATTCATGGCTTTAGGAAACCTGATCTTTATTTCAAGTTGGAAGATGCAGCCCAGGATTTTCTTAATGCTCAGGTAAGATGTCTGGTACTTGGAAGCTTTGGGGTTTCAGAGAAATAACAATAGAAGTTTCCATATTTGGTTTTAGAACATCGTGAGACTGTTAACTGTACAGTTTAAATGAAACTTCTAGTACCTCTCTCTAACATTTTTCGACATCCCCACATACTATGATAGTAATGAAGGGGTATAAATTTAGGTACCAAATTCTGGAGTCAAAGAAGGCTCCTCCTTGCTGGATTCCTAGTTGTTGACATATCAGCTTCAGCTTTATGTTGATGTGTGTGTGTGTGTGTGTTCTGCTGGTCTCACACATTTTAGTCACTAGATTTTAATAATAGTATTCTTTTTTGATTGTTTGGGTATCCCTTCTGAATAATTGGCATCTTTGTCAAATCAGTGGTTAAATAGCTTAGTGTTCAATATTTTGAGTTCTATACATGTGCATATACATGAGGTTAGTTGGAAGGATAAATGAGTGGGAAAGCCATTTGTTGCATTGGGTGCATTTGGTTTAATCAGTCCATACATAGCTTCATATAGTGGCTTCTGAACAATGAATAAATTTTTATAATATTCAAACCATGACATTAAAAATAACCAGGTCTATAAACCTCTGTTATATTGTCTCACTTATAGGAAATTGAATTAATTTTTATTTTGTAACTGGCATAGCTCATAGTTTAAATGTTTTAATTTACTATAAATACAAAGCAAAAGTTTTCATTAGAAGTATAATATAATTATTGTAAATTTAATAGTTGGTCAATTACAAATAGCCAGTAAATCTTTTTCTTTTCTTTTTTTTTTTAATTTTAGCCTCATAAATAGTCATCTGGCATTAAATATTTGTGATCTAGGCCAGTAACCTTTTTCAATCTCACAGGACCTTTTTTAATTAAACTATATCTTTGTCCCATGTCTGTAATCCTCTCACTGACATTTTATATACAAGACACCTTGCTGAAAAAAGGTCAAGCAGTACAGTTATAAATGGAAAAGAGATTAAAAGAATTCTCAAGCCATGGTGTGATCTAAGAGCGAGTTAAATATGGAGCAGTACTTAGTAGACATGCTCAGTAGGAAAAGAGGAATCCTCTGGGTAGATTTTAATGATTGGGGCAGCAAAGCAAATGAAAATTATTTTTAACAGCAAAAGTGAAAATTACACATCTTTTTTCATAGTCCACAGTACTTATTGTGGAAGACCACCATAAGGCTTTAATAGCCATAAAAAAGTTCAGGAAAACGATTGCAAAATACAGTCACGGTGTTTGTATAATTCTTGCCTACAAAGACACTTTTGTTGCTCCGTAAACTTGCCAATGTCAGTCTAGCATTAAGGTTAATTAACTCTAGAAGTAAAAGAAACATGTTGAAATTTATATGCATCAATGAAGAGTAAGAAAGGAATGCAAAAACTGAGTAAGGAAGAGGGGGTGAGCAAACACCGCATTACTGAAAATTCTCTTTTAGTACCTATGTATTGAAGAGTAGTTAGAGTGTTTGGAAGGTAAATACATTCACAGAAGTGACTTACATTATTTTCACCAGAACATTAAGCAGAAATTGGAAACGGATTTTTCCCCCCTTAATATTCTCCAGCTGGCATGTTATGACTAAAACTTGCTGAATCCATGCCACACTGTGATGCATTTAATGGTGTACATGGGTGCAACTAAACAATACATTACTTGTAATGTCTGAAATCACCTAGCAAAGCATGGTACTCAAGTGTTGAAATACCACTGTCTGTTTCTCAGAGGTTGCTTAGTTATACCCAAGAGGCTAACCTTCTCCGAAAAGCCTTTACTGCTAATTTCCTTCTGTCACTTTTATATAGTCCAGTGATAAAAGGGTACCCTTTCATTCCTATGTCATCAGAATAGTGTTATTTAGATGTTAATGCCGGAGGCAAAGCAGGTGACACAAGACTTTAAATCATAAAGACTCATGGTTTCAGTCTTCCTAGTGGTTTTGTTTGTAAACAGTCCCCTTGGTTGCAAACAACCGTTAATTTTAAAAAAGAAAAAAGACCAAAAAATTAGATAAAATTAAATGAGAACTTTAACTTTGACTTGAGCTAAATCTTTTTTGGTGTCTCTCAGGCTTTGGGTTTTGGGGCAGAATTTTTGTCAGTGCTAAATGAAAAGGTTAGTGTTTGCAGTTTCCTTCAGCTATTAAAACTGCTGGCAGTGACTGAACTGTCAGGTTCCAGCAGGCCAGTCCCTGTCCAAAGTAACCGGATGCTGTGTTTGAGAAATGTGATAGTTGGCAGGCTGACATTACGATGCTTGTGACCCAAGCTTCAAATCGGCTCTCAATCTACACAATAAGAACAGTTTCTATACATAAAAACCTGGCGGTTATTTTATTTGTATGTTTGCTTAGTGGAAAAAATTCTTTAACCTAGTAGCTAGTTACATGTCTACAAATCAGGCCACTCAAACATGTTCATGGAGTTCTGGCAATTTTCAGTATGTTCTGTTGGAATGCAACTTTTTTTGTTTCCAAGTGACTTGTTCATCTAGATATAATTTTAGACTCAGACCAGTTGAAAAGCTGGAAAAATTCAATTAATCAAATAGTTTCTTTTTTTAGACAAAGACCTTCAAATAATTCACTGAACTGTCAGAAATGTCTGTTTTGCCATGATTATGCTGGGGTATTGATGTGCAAATTATGTTGAACTTTTGACTGAGATCAGGCAAAGTGAGTCAAGCCAGCCAAGACAAATTGGATAATTGGTAAATTTTATTTTTCAGTTTACTCTCTTAACTGATTAACTTGTCAGATAGTTGAAAATAAACTTATTGGGAGATAAATTATGAAAAATAATCTATTGAATTATATGCTGTATACAGCACTTCTCAATAACCATATTATTAATGTTGTTTTCATCATTGACACATTGAAGTTTAGGAAACTAAGATTCAGGGGGGTTATATAATTTGCTTAGGGTCATAAAAATAGTAAGTTGATTTATCTCTAATCTCATGCTTTCCCACTTGCAGTTCTATCTTCCATTTACTAATCTGTCTGTACTGCCATCAGAATGGTGATTTTTTTGAAGTTTATTTATGGACCTCACTATTATTATTATTACCTAGATATAATAGACCAAGCCTTAATTTTATTTTGTCTATCCACCAATGAAATAAACAACTGCAAAATGTCAAATAGTGGCATATTTTAAAATTACATCCAAAGAGTTTTGTTTAAAAAGAATAAAAGCACATAAATTTTATTTTAACCCACAAGCATATATATGTATATTTTATACATATACATATATATGTAAAATAAACAGAATTTAAAAGTGTAAATATGGGGTTTTTTTTGTGTTATACTTGAGGTTTTTCTTTTTTTCCATGTTTCATAAAATCTGTAAATTTCCATGACCCTGCAGATATTCAGAAAAATATGTTCACTACTGGAAAAAGGACAAAATGTTTGTGATATGGTAAATACATTAGGAGTTTGCTAGATGGTGCTGCAACATATGTTTGTAATACTCTGCTTAAAGTGTCTGCTTGAATAGGAAATTTTGTTGCAATTAGAAATATTCAGATATGTATTGATATTTGGAGTCTTTTTATCATGATATATGAATTATTGTTTTAAAAATCCTACAGATATTAGTACTATTTTATATATTCAATATACACAAAAACTACTAAAGCTGATAAAAGAATTCAACAAGGTAGCAGGATACAAGATTAACATACAGAAATCTGTTGCAATTTTCTTTACACTAACAGTGAAATATCAGAAAAGGAAAGTAAAAACAAAACAATCCCTTTTAAAATCACATCCAAAAAAATTAAACACTTAGGAGTAAACCTGACCAAGGAGATGAAAGACTTACACACTGAGAACTATATAACATGGATAAAGGAAATTAAAGGTGATTTAAAGAAATGGAAAGAGTCCCATGCTCTTGGATTGGAAGAAATAATATTGTTAAAATGGCCATATCACTGAAAGCAATCTACAGATTTAATGTGATCCCTATCAAGTTACCCAGGACATTTTTTCACAGAACTAAAACAGATAATCCTAAAATTTATATGGAACCACAAAATACCCCAAATTGCCAAAGCAGTAGCAAAGAAAAAGAATGATGCTAGAAGCATAACCATTCCAGACTTCAGACAATACTACAGAGCTACAGTAATCAAAACAGTGTGGTATTGGCACAAAAACAGTGACATGGAACAGAATAGAGAGCCCAGAAATAAACTCCCGCACCTACAGTCAATCAATCTTTGACAAAGGAGGCAAGAAAATACAATGGAGAAAAGATAGTCTCTTCAGCAAATGGTGTTGGGAAAGCTGGAGAGTCACATGTAGATGAAAAAGAATATGAAAAGAAAATATATATGTATGACTGAATCACTGTGCTGTACACCAGAAACTAACACAACATTGTAAATCAATTCTAAAGAGACTACTAGCAAATGAAATCCAAAGTTATATGAAGAAAAGTTATACATTACAACCAAATTGGTTTATCCCAGAGGTGAAATATATATATTTTTATACACACACATATACATACATATATACATATGTACAGTTGCACATATAAAATTTCTTCAGTTGCAGAAAATATGATAGTATTTAACACTCATTCATAACAAAATTCTAAACTAAAAGTAAAAGGGAACTTGGGAACTTTTCTAAACTGGTTAAAGGACATACAACAAACCCTACAAAAAACACTACTTTCTGTAAAATATTAAAAGTTTTCCCTCTGAGTTTAGAACGGAGAAGAGGATGCCTGCTCTTACTACCTGTACTTAACACTGCGCAAGAGTTCCTATCTAGTGAAGTAAGGTAAAAGATAAAGAAATAAAACTAAATAAAGATTGGAAAGATCAAAAATACTATCATCATTCACAATTGTACTAACTATTGTATATTCTAAAATTTAAAAAATATTATTAGAACTGAGGGAATACAGCTAAATCACCACAGTTGATCTTTATTATCTGTGAATTCTGTGTTTGTGA